AAAGCAATTAACATTGTTATGAACAACACTAAACCTCTGTAACTGATTAATTTAAAATAATGTCTGTTTCAGAGAGTTAATGTAGTAATCTGGAATGATTACTTTATGAAGGCTTAAGAGTACATTTAAAATATTAAATCAGCTTAGAAATACAGATTAAGAAAATGTAAAACAGAGAAGAGCTGCATCATGGATTCCATAATATTTAATGGTGTATTCAGCAAGACAGCTGACTCACCCTTACTACAAAGTTTTTGCAAATAAATGTCTGACAAACTCCAAGGCATATCAAAAAACCTGTGACTGACATTTTTTATTCCCTAGTTTAGTGCTTTTAATTAGGTACCTTCTGCATGTCCATTCTGCATGAGGGAGAGGGTACAGGGATCTCTGCAGGGAACTGTGACTCTCCGCCACCGTGAGGTGGGCTGGGCATCTTGTTATTCTTTCTGCCTTGTCCCTCCGCCCCCGCCCCCGCCGGGCTGCAAGCTCAGGCTGCCGTCGGGCATAGGGGCACCAGTTTAATAATACTGCATTAAACTTGCAGGGGGCGGTGAGCCCCAGCCATGGAGAAGCTGGTGTGGCGCAGCACAGGGGGGCAGGAGCCCTGCAAAGGCGGTGGCGCCGCTAGCAGGGAGCAGCCGCGCCCCCCACCCCTCCTGCCCAGGCTGCGGCCTAGCGCCCCCCCGGGGGGCCCTGCAGACTGCAGCAGATGCATGCAGGCAGAGGCCCCTGTGCGCCCCCCAGCTGCCCCCTCGCCACGCTTGGGCTCTGCAGCTCCCGGGCATGTGAGCTGCCGCCGGGGCGCGGGGCCGTGAGACTGCTCCGGGAGGGGGCGGGGCGGCGGCAGCTCACACTCCTGGGAGCCGCAGAGCCCGAGCACAGTGAGGGGGGAGCCAGAGGGGTGCACGGGGTCTCTGCCCCCATGCATCTGCTGCAGGAGCCCTCAGAAGGCAGCTCCTCCCTGCCGAGCTGCTGCAGCGACCCAAGCCCAGCAAAGCTAGTGAGTGGACTTGCGACGGGGGCCGCCGGGGTGGGGTGAGGAGGGGAGGGCTCGCGGGGGAGCTGTGCATCCTCCAGGGCAGTTCAGGGGGCAGGGAGGGGAACCTGGTCTGGGGAGCAGCCCCTGGGCACGGCTGGCCCCTGGGGTCTATAAAGGCTCGTTGGGATTTGCCCCTCGATGAACCAATGGCGGGGGGGTGGTGTGTGTGCAAGGTGGAAGTTTCGCCTAGGGCGCAAAATATCCTTGCACCGGCTCTGGGTAGACAGTTGTGTCTGCAGGTATGATGTGGCTCAGAATGTTTTATACAGGAATTTCTATATGAATTTGAGGAGCTGCCTTGCAGATATTTGGCAATTAGATGCTCTGGTCTAATTATTAGCTGCTCCTACTGTAGAACCACTGTTGTTTCCTGTTTTGAATGGTGCCATTTATGAGGGGGTTTCTTAAAGGGAGCAAACTGAGAATGGAAAGCCTGCGAGAAGGAGAAATAAATCCAAGCAATACCTGACACTATTGATTATTCTGTATATGATCTGCCCTCCTTATAGACAGTGCCTGAAGAATTACAGAACGGAGGTGGCTTCGGTTACGTGGTGGCATTCCGACCCTTGGGCACAGTGAGCTGGATGCAGACTGTAGTAGCTTCTTCTGATGCCTCCAGATACGTGTTTCGAAATGAGAGCTTGCCGCCATTCACGCCCTATGAAGTTAAAGTGGGCGTGTACAACAATAAAGGGGAAGGTTCTTTTAGCCCTGTGACAGTTGTATATTCTGCAGAAGAAGGTACAGTAGGCTGCGCACTGCACTTTCTTCCTTTGCATTGTCTTGAAATCCGATGCATGAGGCATGCTGCTAACTGTTTTTGAAAGGGTTTAGTATCCCACGTGGACACATCCGTTGATATCTAATCCTTGCTCTGATTTATTATAAATGGTGAGTCACAACTAATTCTTTTGATCGTCATTAAAATAACATGAATCACAGTGAAATCTTTTGATATTAATGGGAACGTAATATGTAATCTTGAAAGAATTCAACTGAGATTTAACTGAGAATTAATGTCTACTGATTAGAAAATGTTTCTCTTGTCCTAATACCAATACATAGTGTCCTGGTTTAAGTGCCCCCAATGACATCTGATTAATTATTACACATTGGCATAATGAAATCCTGCCTAGCCCTGACAGGTCACCATTTTGAATTTGAAACATTCTTTTTGGCTACCCAACCCCACTCTCTTCTAGTGAGAGGAGTAAACCCGGAAGTTTGTAGCAAAGTTAAGCATAGAACCTACACTAAGACCTTTTTTTCCCCCCCCAAACTATACATATAGAACCCACCAGAGCTCCAACCAGCGTCTTTGCCAAAAGCCTTTCTGCTTCGGACATTGAAGTTTATTGGGCCTCTCCACGTGAGAATCAGAGTAAAGGAAGGATACAGGGTTATGAGGTATGAGAATAAAATGTGATATCAGGCTGGAGCAGACTTAATACTGATCATAGCAATATATAATTGAAGGTCACCTAAACACTGCTTCTTACACATGCATCTGCTTGCTCACTGTTTTTCCCCATTGTACACTGGAATGTCTCTTTTTAAGGTACAAAGGAAGATATATATGTAATCCATGGTGACAATGGGTAGCAGTCTGTTGGGGGAGGGGGGAGGAATCTGCCTTCTCTAGGGCCTTGTGGAGACCATAGTAACCCGCAGTAAGTGCTGTTCAGTGGAAAATTGAGATCTATAAATTGTTTCATTTTCTCCATCTCAGAGTCCACTGAAGGTCAGAAGCATTGACCTCTGGGTTTATGAACATTTCCAGTTGTGATCTTCTCTAAGATGGAGAGAATGGCAAGATTTACAGAGTGGAGCTGGAACATTGTCTTAATACGATTCTCACTTCCAGGATGGTCAATGGCCCTTTTCCATTTGACAGTAGTTAAGGGCATGTTATCCATAGAGATAAATTTTACATTATTAATCTCGGGATTTCACTTACTGCAGTACCATATCTATGGAGAATTAAGACACGGATAGACTCAATTACACTGAGTTAAGTAGGTAAATGTACATGTTCTGTTTTTTCAGGTTAGATGTTGGAGACATGAAGATAAGGAAGAAAATGCTAGAAAAATCAGGACTATTGGTAATCGAACATCGACAAAAATCACTAATCTGAAAGGCAATGCATTATATCATTTAGCCGTCAAGGCATACAACACCGCAGGGACAGGACCCTCCAGTGCTACAGTCAATGTCACTACCAAAAAGCCACGTGAGTATTCATTGTGATAGATCATGATCTAACATTGGGATCCCAACAAGCACTTTCCTTGCTGGCATTTTCCAGGTCTCTCTCTAATTTGAAGATGCTGTGAGGTTTTTTTTTTTCTGTAGCTATGTTCTTCCTGCAAGAGCTTTGTGGGGTTGTTGTGGTGGGTTGGGTTTTTTTAAATGCTTCTGAAATCATTACTGTGCAGAAAAGTTAAACATTCATATCATCATTCAAGGTAGCTATCTCTTCTAGTCATACTCACGTCAAGTAAGCAACAGAGTCCCTTTTCATTTATACCACTGTGTTGTGTAAGGGTATGTCTTCACTACCGGCCAGATCGGCGGGCAGCTATTGATCCAGCGGCGATCGATTTATCGCGTCTAGTCTAGACACAATAAATCGATCCCTGAGAGCTCTCCCGTCGACTCCTGTACTCCAGCTCAGCGAGAGGTGCAGGCAGTGTAGACGGGGGAGTGGCAGCAGTCGACTCACTGTAGTGAAGACACCGCAGTAAGTCGATCTAAGTACGTCGACTTCAGCTAAGTTATTCACGTAGCTGAAGTTGCGTAACTTAGATCGATTCCCCCTCCCAGTGTAGACCAGGCCTAAGACCTGCTCTGACCTAGAACACAGACCTCGGTGCAACAGCTCATTAACTTACCAGAGCAGTAGGATTCTGTGGATGTTCAGCTACTATGGTGATGGAAGCCATATAAGTATTTAGATGGATTAAGCTAGAAAACATTGCTACTTAACCATATAATACTTTGTATATTTTAATATAGCACCGAGTCAACCTCCTGGAAACATCATATGGAATTCATCTGACTCCAAGATTATACTGAACTGGGATCAAGTTAAAGCACTGGATAATGAATCAGAAGTGAAAGGATACAAAGTGGGTAACTTCTTAGCATGGGCACATAGGACTGGTTATTTATCTGTATTAACTGTCTCTTGACAGTAGGCCTTTGATGATTCAACTCCCCTGGGATTTTCACATTGAGTTTTGGTTAAAGTGAACCTGTCCATGAATCCATGAAGCTGAGTTTAGAGTTTGGAATAAAACTCAAGAGGAGGGTGAACATACAGCCTGGTTTGGCCGGAACAGTCCCTTTTTTAAGCCCTGTCCTGATCATCAGTTGGCAAGAGCAAAGGAGCCAAAAAAGAGGGGTGCGACCCCTAGCGGGGCATGGAGGAACATCCCTGGATGTCTTGGGTGAGCGGCTCCGGCCAGGCCAGCCCCACACGGGCAGGGAGGGGGGGGAATGGCTCAGGTGAGTGGCAGGGGCCAAGGCGGGTGAGCAGCACGGGCTGAGGGGAGCGAGCAGTGCAGGCTGGCCCTGCATGGGCAGGCAGCTCAGGGTGACCCCACGCGAGCCAGGAGGCGGGTGAGGGGCTCGGGGGGGATCAACAGCGCAGGCTGAGGGGTGAGCAGCACGGCTTGGCGGCTCGGGGCCCGGCCCTATGCAGAGTCCTTGTTTGATGGTTCAGCTTTGTTCATAAAGCAGAAGGAAGGAGGGTGTGAAGTCCCAGTTAGTAGCAATCTTGGTAGGGTATAAATTATAAGGAGAAAAATCTTGGGTAGAATTCAGTCCTAGAACTATGCCATGCTACACAAGACCTTACTTTGGCCTGAGGAAAACAGTGATGGCAATTTTGCCAGCAAGTTACATTGAGTTTCAAGCTCTGCAAACCTTTTGCAATGGAACCTGAAACCACGAAAATTTTACGAAGTTTCAGGTTTTGTTAGGAACATGAAACTCAAGCCAGATTCATTTACATTCATGAACCTAGGCCAAGTTTCGTGCATGTCTGTGCTGATATTTGACCAAATCTAGACCATGTTTTTGTATGGTTAAAACTTGTTTCCATCCAAATGCCGGCAAATCTCAGCAGTTTTGGCCAAGCTTCAGGTCACGTTTTTGAGTTCAAAATTCAACCAAAAGTCAGCCTGAAATGGTGGAAGAGAGGCCCTCGTGACCTTTCCAAAGCCGTCTCATCTAGTAGTGTGTCTTTTTTGTAGCTCCTCTTTTTCTTTTGTGTTACAGTTGTACAGCCACATTATTGCATTTATATGCAGAGAGCAAAACCACTTCTTTTTTTCTGGAAATATGCTATTTTGTGGCAGGGTTTATATTCTAAATAAGTTGAATTTCCAGATCTTAGGAAAAGAAAGAAGGTAAATCAAAGAAGCAATTTATTCAGTGAAGCTGCTTGTGACACTACATCATATACGCCAGTCCAGTTTTCTGAAGCACTATAATAAGATGTTATGACATCTCTAAATAAGCCACAGGATTTATTTTAGTTTGATCCTTAGTAAGGACTAAGGTGATACTGAATTGGATGTCTCTGGTGTTCAGAATTGAGAAAGGAGGCTTAGGGATCTTGCTAATTTAAGGAAAATCATATTCAGCTCCTTGCATTTAACAAGTATAAATTAAGGTGATCTAATGCTACTTTAGAGGAGGGTGAGGGAAGTATTTGCCGAGGAACTCAGTGATTCTGAATAAAGTTTATATGTGCCTGGTTAGCTCTTTGAATGGAAGGGTGATTTATGCCAGGCTCATCTGATCACTCGCCACAGCAGAATGGCTTTTGTTTTTTATTTTCCAGTAGAAGTGCGCTTCCCTGCTTCTCCCAACAACCTAGTGAATAAAGAGCCCAGCAGCAGCACCTGTTCAGAACGATTTCTGATGGCTGACCCATAAATTAGATTGCCCTTTTGAAGCACACCTGCCTGGCTAAAACTGGCTGTGCTGGAGAGCTTCTGAAATTGCTCCAGCTGATGGGAAAATGAAGTTTAATCAAGCTGAGAGGCAGAGGTGCTCTGCCAGTTACAAGGGCCTCTGCTGAGTGTCATGTGGCTTTATGATAGGGCTACACATCTGAATTCCAACAAGAGCCGCGTTCTGCAAGCTCCCTCCATAGTTAGCCCTCAGTGCCCAGTGGCTTCACATCAGCACAAAGTGAAGAATTCACAAACGTGGCTTCCTAAAGCACCCATCGGGTTCAGATCAACACATCTGTGAAATCTGCTGTGCTTCTGATGATAATAGAGACAATTCTGTGCTCTACGAAGGAAAAGATCAATAGTAAATCTTCAGGTTGTTATGGAGATGATCAGTTCTCTTTTCTCTCCCCCACCCACCCCCACCCTTTCTCCACTCCAATGTTTTACAGGTTTTATACAGATGGAACAGACAGAGTAGTACATCTGTAATCGAAACGAATAAAACATCTGTCGAGCTTTCTTTGCCTTTTGATGAAGATTACATCATAGAAATAAAGCCATTTAGTGACGGAGGCGATGGTAGCAGCAGCGAACAAATCCGAATTCCAAAGATATCAAGTAAGAATGTTGTCATTGTGCTTGTGTTTCCAGCCCACGGAGCATGGATTCTTAATGGATCAAGGGCCAACATTTTCAGATGGCATCCCGTTTTTTGCACACTAAAATTGAGCTGTTGGGGGCACCGTGGCTCACTTTGCATATGCAGAATATCAGCTGCAGCCCCAAAGAAAGGTTTTGTGCAAGCAAACTGGAGCGTTCAATCATAACGATGACAGGCTTCAAATTTGCTCAATTCCGCATGTACGCAGATAGGTATGCTGAGAAACAATAAACCGGAGACGAGACTGAGCGACAGCACTCATATTCAAACCTGAACTTTCCCAGAATTTGTTGGCATTCAAACCCAAGGTTTAGGTTTGGCCCCTACTCAAGAATAAATGATACGCAACAGCATAGTAAAAAGGGTTATATTTCACTGAGAGTTTCTAGACTGACACTCTCAGGGTTTTTTTCATTTGTTATTACAGGTCTTGATAGTCTCTTCAATACACCTCTACACCGATATAACGCTGTCCTCGGGAGCCAAAAAATCTTACCGCGTTATAGGTGAAACCGCATTATATCGAACTTGCTTTGATCCGCCTGAGTCCACAGCCTTGCCCCCTCGGAGCACTGCTTTACTGCGTTATATCCGAATTCGTGTTATATCGGGTCGTGTTATATCGGGGTAGAGTTGTTTCATTGCAATTTGTGATCAGAAAGTGTCCAGTATGAAGTGCAACAACTTATTAATTTATACTGTCGTGTTATATCAGTACTTCACTCTATGTTGTGTGCATATATACTTATTTAGGGAAATGAGGTTTTATCTCCATGTAGAAGTTGATATTTTCATTTTCAATAGAGAAAGGAGTAGTTATTACAATGCACTGGTCTTATAAAATGTCTGTGTTCCACCTTCCCAAGTGATTTCCATGAGTGATGCTACAGCTGGCAAACTGATTTACTCAGGTGGGTGGGGGAGTTTATGGCCATGGGCCAAATCCTGCCATCATAACTCAGTCAAAACTCCCACTGAAATAGGATGGCAGGATTTGACACATACCATGGGAAAGTCAGGGGGGAAGCTCCAGTCCACCTGAGATGGCTGAAAGTCTCCAAGCAGGATCAGAGCTGATAGGGCAAGACAGAGCTGAAAGTTTAGGGAGGTGATGCTAGGCTGACTGTTTTTGCAGGTTCTTCAAGCCTGACCCTGGCATAAATTTGTCAGAGGGGAGGGTGTTTATGGATGTTCTGAAGGGAATTTTTAAGACTGTGTCACTTTTGCTTGCAGTGTTTGACTAGGTTTGGATTTAAATCCAGATTGGTGGTTTTACTGGGAATCTTTCATATTTCTCAGAGTTCTGGATGCTATATTCACACTAATCCATTGTAAGGGCCTGGTTTTGCCCTTACTTACAGAGTAACTCCACTGCAGTCAGTAGAGTTACAGCAGTGTCAAAGGTAATAGGCTATGATTCTGATCTTATCTATGTAGATATGTACCTTGCTTATCAGGGCTGGCTCCAGGGTTTTGGCCACCCCAAGCAGCCAAAAAAAAAAAAAGAACCAAGATCGCGATCTGCGGTGGCAATTCAGCGGGAGGTCCTTCGCTCCGAGCAGGAGTGAGGGACCATCCCGAATTGCCGCCGAACAGCTGAACGTGCCACCCCTCTCCGAAGTGGCCACCCCAAGCACCTGCTTGCTAAGCTGGTGCCTGGAGCCAGCCCTGTTGCTTATACAAACAAGTCAGGAATCTAAGCGTCAGTCACAGAAAATCATAAGCTCAAAAGCCAGTAACACACATGCTATTTTTCTGTGATCTAAAATGGAGTCACAAAATATATCAGACCAGATTCCAAGCTGGTATAAATCAGCTAGCTACATGAGTATCTGGTTCATCATGCCATGTTGGTATGGTGTTTGGTAGCTTGAACTTTGTTCAATTCTAAAGAGAGATATTCCCTAAAGCCATAGAATTTTGAATGTACCCTTGAATACAAATGACTGGGGAAATACAAGTACAAACCATAATGCAGAATGGCTAATGAAAGTAGTAGGTCCCACTAAATAAACAGAATCTAGAAGGGGAGAAGAGGTTGATTAGGTCCAAGAAAGAGAAATTCCATCCCCTCTTCCCCCTGTGTTCCTCAGACTGGGACTGTGAGATTTACAAATTTTGGGCATTCAATATGCTTGGCTAAAGTGGATTGATTTCTTTGGGAGTTTGACCAACCCTGTGCCTGTACTTATGATATCCCATCAGAAGGCTGTTGTAGTAAGATTCCAATTTGCAAATGTACAGTTTGGCTAAACTTTGCAGGAACATCTGAACTCTTGGGTCTGTAGCCAAACTTACTTTGAACTCTGGACCTTCGGAGGTGACCACCTCCTTGTTTGTTTGTTACCCATTTGTGGTTTGTTACCCATTTTGCTGTCGAATGCATTTTGGACTCATCATGACAGGATTTAATGGCTGTGGGCTGAATCCTGCTCTCCTTACTGTTTCTTTTCTCTCTCCTTTTCTCAGATGCATATGCGAGAGGATCTGGTACTTCTACTTCAAATGCGTGTACGTTGTCAGCCATCAGCACAATAATGATATCCCTCACAGCTAGATCAAGTTTATGACAAAAATTACATAAAGGACTTCCTGTTTATAATATAAGCAACATTTAGCTAGTTGTTTTGAAGACACCCAGTACTAAGTAATATTGTTGTTCAAGTACATCTTACTACTGGAAAAAAAATGTTTTATGCTTCTTTAGGAATGGCATTATACAGTACTTCCTCAAAGCAAATATAGCTTTGTTTGAAGTTTCCTTGGAAACTCTGCAATGCACTGAAAACATCTGTAATATGATGTTACCAAAGCAGTTTACATATGTCCTTATATGCATATTTTTTATTATATATTTAGTGTTTTATAGAATTTTTTAAAGTTAACATATGATGTAGATATTAATTTTTCCTCTGCTATAAAATGCTACAGATAACACTATCATAAAAAATATTGTTTGGAATTTTTTCCTTTAAAACTGAGAGTTCAAAGTTGTTCTCAGTAAATTGGTTACAAATTGATTGTACAGTTTTGCAAGGGTACACATTGGGAGAACTGTTTAGGACTTGGTTTGTAACTCAAGGCAGCTGTATTTAAATGACAGTTATGATGGTTCCTAAGTAAAATCAAGTGCTTAAGATATTTTTTCATTTTGGATCAGATGAGTGTACAAGATAAACCTGAGATAACCTTCAAGAACAGCTACAGTCTTCAAAAATAAGTATGCAGATTTTTGTTCCTAGCCAATACTTTAACATCATATATTAAGCTTTCATTTTATTGTATTTAAGTAGCTTTGTCTTGATCATAATTAACATTAAATTGAACATTAAAGTTGATATTACATAGTTGTAATCTCTTCCTATAGTAACGTAGACCAAAAGTTACTGCAGCAAAAGAAGGACCAGATTCTGAGCTTAGTTACCTTGGTGTAATCCAAAGTAATGCCAGTTTAAATCAATTATTTTACTCTGGATTTACATCAAGGAAATTATAATCACAATATGCATGTCTTTAAGATTTAAAACTAATTCTGGGTTCCACTGTCTGAATATGTATTTCTTTTCAGTGTACATTTTAAATGTAATTCATAAATCTTCATAATTTAATCACAAAATTATGTTTTCTTATATAATCTCTTTTGAGTGTCGGTCATAAACTGAATCTGACAGATGTATCATGTTTCTAGTGAATAACTCTCTGAAGTACATTTTTCATATTAATTTGCAAAGTATCTTTGTGTGTATGGTCCCTCAATAGTTCTGTGCTAGGAAGTCTTTGTTTCTTTACAAACTCTTCATACAAATATGAAGTTTTAATAGACTCATATTGGAAAATGACAATATCAACAGAAAAATAACTCTTCTTGAGAAAAGGACTGTTTGTTACTATGGGATCATTTTGTAAGTCCACTCAGATGGATCAATGCTGGTAAAAAGGCAATGGAATTTTCTATAAAAATTTTCAAGTTTAAATGCGCTGCAGTGCTTTATTTTTTTTCCTGATAGCTTAAATTTGCCTGTAACTTGTCTTTTTTGCTTACAAAATACTACAAGTTAACTTTTAAACCTTCTCAATATATTTATTCAGTAACTCATAATTGGGATTCCACTTGTGTAAAAGTCAGGGGTGTTAACCAGAGAAATATTGTCAATATTTCAAGCTGTGTTCCTTTCTTAGTTTGATATGGTTACTTCTATGTAAACACAAAAACAAAAAAACCCACAAAAACAAGAAAATGAAACAAAAAAAAAGCCTATGTAGTTTTCGCCCCGGTGTAAATGATATTTATCGGTGATCTAGCAGATGTAATCTTTTTTTAAAGGTATTGGTAATAAATATTCTGTCATTTGTAAAGATACTGGTCTTTCAGGAGCATTTTTCCTAAATACCTGTTTATAATTTGAGACAAACTTCAGCACTGGTTATCTCAGATTGCCACTGACTTAAAAGTGGGAAGCAGTCCAACACAGAACTAAGGGGAGGCAGAGAAGTCTCTAGGCTTATTCTGCTTCCAACACTATAAAAAAAAAGAGTATCTGATGAATTTTGGATGATTCCAAACTCTTGTGTAGCTCTGTGACCTTTCAAAGCTTATGTAAACTAATATCATGGAGCCTTTACTGATGGAGAATCTCAGTTAGCATCTCATTAGATATGGAAAAAAGAAACAGATGAAATGTTTATCTTCACCAACCCATTTAACACTTCTGACAGTTAAGGAGGAAGGACACAAGCTACAAAAGTTCAGCAGGTAGGAAGGAACTGCAGTACAGGTGCCCAGTTTGCTGATAACATTTGCAGATAGCGCAAATACAGTCCAGAGGATGAGTGCTTCTGGTGCCTGTGGGAATATTAATTCTGTACGTAAGGATAAGCTTTATCAAGATTCCTGCTGACTCTTACTGTTACTGCTGAAATGTTCTTCTAAATGTTCATCCAATTCTAAGTTACACACAATTCCAATGAACCTTCACCTGAAAGGCTGTTGCTTTGGGTATGTCTACACCCAGCCGCTAATTCGGCGGCTGGCAATCGAAGTTCTGGGTTCGACTTATCGCGTCTTGTCTGGACGCGGTAAGTTGAACCAGGAAGTGCTCGCTGTCGACTGCGGTACTCCAGCTAGACGAGAGGAGTACCGCGGAGTCGACGGGGGAGCCTGCCTGCCGCGTGTGGACCGAGGTAAGTTCGAACTAAGGTACTTCGAACTTCAGCTACGTTATTCACGTAGCTGAAGTTGCGTACCTTAGTTCGATTTGGGGGTTTAGTGTAGACCAAGCCTTTGTGTTTTACAATGTATATCCGGGTAGTTAATAGGCGGACTGTGGGCCAAATCCGCTTTTGAACAGACCCCAAAATCTTTTTATTTACTTATTATTATTTTTTCCTGGAGTCTGGACCTTAACCAAGAAATTTGGACCTTGACAAAAAAGAATGGCCTATCCCTGAATTTGATGCGCAGGGTGTCAAGAATGTATATATCCTCATTTATACTGCAAGGGTTCTCTTTGATTCAATACTAGAGAGGCTAGCAGTTTCTTTGATATCGGTATTATCCTCAGTTTGTCAGTGCTGCTGGATTTAGGGTAATGGTAAATTGAAAATGGCATTAAAGTCATGAGTTGGCATTTATATGGCCCATACTGCGGTTTCATAAACTCAGTGTTCTGCTTGGGAACGTGATCTCTGGATCTAGATATGTGTTCTCACTGGATGCTGTGTGTTAAATTTAACAGTAAACAGACACTCCTCAAAAGGGTGTGGAGGGGAGTTAATTGCAGCCCTTATGTGGATTTAAAGAGGAGTCTCTATTGAACAGACCAAGCAAGAGGTCCAGGCAGAGCAACAGGCTATGCAAGCAAAGGTGCAAGATTTCCAGGCAGATCTTCCCAGTCTGATACTAGCTAGCTTACCACTCAGTCCAACATAGCTCTTCTTACAGACTCCAACTTCCCAGTGCTCAGTGAACAAGCAAGCAAGGAGAAATCGATCTGCACAAGCTTCCCCCCATCACATATTTCCAGCAGAATGGTGTGGGGTCTGAATATCCCGCAGTATTACATTTCTAACATTGAATTTCAGGCACACCAGTGTGTGAAGACGATATGATTATAGCACTCCAATGATGCTGTACCTTTTCAAAGGAGCCAGGCTCCACTTTATGATCAAGGGAGCTTAAAAATCAAATGGCCCAGTAGCATAATTCAATTCTAAATTTGCAATATTCAGTCAAGTTCAGAATTTAGTGGTAGGCATTCCCCGTGCTGACTCTCCAGCTGATGTTATCTCAGATATTTTTGTGTTGATGTATATGATGAATGTATTGGGTTTGTGTATCCGAATTGAAGACAAAATTTGTGTGAAGTATTCACTTGGGTGTCTAGCAGAAATGTACTGAACCTATTTGTAATTCAGAGCTAAAAACACTGGTATAAACAGGCTCAATATTTGCTTCAGCACAGTTGCAACCACCACGCCAGTGGTAAATTTGGCCCATCATCTCTGCCATATTACACGGTAAAGAGGCAGTAATCACTAAATGATAATAGTGCAATTAACCATGAATGTTATGAGTGTATTAGAAATTTTTCAGTGACTCAAATTACTGTTCTGTGGCTCAAATTGCTAAATGACAGGAAGGAATGAGTTACTAGAGAGTTGGTTTTTTGTTCTTTTTAAATAAATGGCTAGTCCCTTTAAGCCACAAGCAAAGCTTCCCAATATACATCTGCATAAGATAGGCAGTACTGTGATGTCAACAACAGCAAATACAATGGGCTAGATCTTCAGCTGGTAAAGTTAATGATTCTATGTTGATTTATATCAGGTTAGGATCTCATACCATTAAAAGAATAAACCCAGTATAAATCTGTGTTGTTGGCAGTAAGAGGTGCTGTAAGGAGGGGAAAATAGTGATTGCCTTGAAAAATACTTATTTCCTATTATCTGATACACACAAACATTTTGTCTTCAAAGGTAAATTTACATCTTGAATTCTTTAACGATGTAATAGTATTTAGCTCTTCCCTACTGCTGTTCATCTGCAATTCTCAAAGCATTTTACAAAGGGATGTGAGGTCATGATGCCCTTTTTACAGAGGGGGAAACTGAGGCACAGAGCGGCAAAATAACATGCCCACAGTCACACAGCTAGGAATAAAACCTAGGCATCTTGATTCTCAGTCCAGTGCCTTATTCACGGACCACACTGTCTCTTTCAATTATATTTACAAACTTGCCTGATTAGACTTTATTTCTAGAATCTTATTGGAAATTTTGTGGTTTAGACAAGACAACTCCTCTCTGGAGATGGGGTACCTGGATTTCAGAAGAGCACGTACCAGCATAAATACATGGAGATGCAGTATTGCTCACCTATGGGCAGAATGAACAAATCTAGGTGCCAGATCCTAACAGTTTGTTGCTGGATATATATCTTTCATGTTATATTTTATTTAAATGCATTTTTCCAAGAGCAAGGCAATGGCTGTGGTCCCCACACAGCATTTATATTCTATGGGATCGATTATGCTACCCTTACTCACACTGTATAATACCTTACACCACAACTAGTGTTGTGAGTAAGGTTTTTGCAATCTGGCCCTTCTTGAGCAAGTGAGACATTTCTAGAAGTACTAAGAATCTGGAGCATTGTTTCTGGCTTTATGACAATCTGTACACATTCTTGCATGTTTTCATCAAATCTTTGCAAATGTTTGTGTAATTTCCTCATGCACCATCCATCTGGCTCTTGTCAATAACACTAAAACTTGAAAGATTGTCTTTCGTTTTTATTTGAGACATTAATCAGAAACACAAATATTTGTCCAAGTACACCAGCCTAATATACCAGTCTTTTATGTTTGATCACATCACTAGCTTGGCTGGTAAATTCTGAGCATTCCAGGCAGTTTCTAATCACTGAACCTATAGTAATACAATGCAAAAATTATTTAAATATACTGCATAATTTCTGTGGTAGCCTTCTGTTAAAAAGGGCTTAATAAATGAGAGAGAACTAGATTTAGCATTCTTATATATTAGGATATTTGATGGCATAAAACAAATAAAATACATCAATAGCAAATGTATTCTCCTGTGTTCTCATTTTAAGCTTCTGTTGATCTAACACACTGTTTTTAGGCTGTTATATCTTGGCTCCTCCGATCCATTAAAATCACCCGAAGGGAGACTTTTAGGCACAAAAATTCAAAGGAGTCATACCAATTTACACCAGTTTGGGAACTGGCTAATTAAAGTAAAAAAAACGAGGCTTCCTTGTGGCACCTTAGAAACTAACCAATTTATTTGGACGTAAGCTTTCGTGGGCTAAAACCCACTTCATCAGATGGAGTGGAAAATACAGTAGAGAGGTCTAAATACACAGCATATGAAAAGATGGGAGTTGCCTTACCAGACACCTATTTAACAACAGCACCAGACACTAACTTCCTGATAGTATTAGAAGAAACTCTGCACAAGTTGCCACACCTCATGAGCATCAGCAAAACAAGTTCCCTTTCAAGACAAAGTTGCAGGTTTATTTTACAGTGTGCTCTGTGGATTACACAAGGCAAGCATACAGATTGCAAGCGAGGCAGCAAGCTTAAACTAAAAGAACAAACACTGGCTTAAACTCTGCTTCATTGGGGTTGGACTGGTGCAACTGAGAGCTGAAATGTGTAGCATACAGTGTAGGCAATACCATAAAACTGTAATGATTAAGGCTGGAATTCTCAAGGATCCTAAGGGAGCTGAAATTAATGGGGAGTTGGGAGCCTAACTCCCTTTGGCTCATTCAGAAATCCCAGACAAGAGCAATAATATTTCTCTGAGGGTTTTCTTTCACCTTGTCACAGGGTGGCTGGCTGCCGTAAGTGAAATAGGTCCAGCTTCCCTGTGCCAGATGAGGTGCTCCCAGGCTGGCAAGTTAAGAGGGCAGTGCAACACCTGGGGCTATAAAGGATCAGGGAGAATCTAACAGGAAGAAAGACGGTGAGTCGAGGTTGCCAGAGTTAGTCAGGAAAAGGCAGGTGAGAACTGCCAAGTGTTTCCTGAGGCAAGGTTGAAGGCGAGGAGAGTCACAGGTTGGGTTTGCCAGCTGACCTCCCCAAGCCAGAGAGCCATAGCTGAAGGGGGCTGAAGTAGGGTGACCAGATGCTAAGTGGAAAATATCGGGACCATCACAGGGGGGGTGCCTTTTTAATTGTTACACTCACCCGTCCAGCATTTCAGCAGCGGGTAATAAACCTTACGGCCAAAGACAGAAGCACCCACCGCCGAAAACCGTCAGCGACTGAAGGACCCACCGCCAAATTGCTGCGAAGACCCGGACAGGTGAGTGTAAAAGAAAAAAGAAAAAAAACGCCCGAAACAAAATATCGGGACAAATGGCGTCCCAACCGTACTTTGGTTGGGACACGGGACAAACTTCTCAAAATCGGGACAGTCCCGATTTTATTGGGATGTCTGGTCACCCTACGCTGAAGGCAGGAGGGGCATCGGAGGAAAGTGCTGGCTGGTTGTAAGCAGGAGAGCCAAAGCTGAGGGATGAAAGCAGGGGAACAGCAGTGGTGCTCACCCACTGATGTCTCCACTCTGCAGAGCTGGACCCAGGAGAACAGTGAGAAGGCTGGGGGAGCAAGCAGGGCTCCCCTGGTGAAGATGCTCTCCCACTCAGTTTTTGGTTTGGGCAAATGGCCAGTCCTCAGGTTAGAGGCATTCCTAGCACAACAGTTCATTGCTGAAAATATCAGGCACTCAAGCACAGATGTTGTGAAGAAAATGCTCGAGAAGAAGCCATGAGAGGGCACAGGACATGCTCCAGAGAGGTGCTGGGTGCCTGCCACTCCCACTGACTTCGGCACGTAGGCCAAGAATTTGTTTCATCTGCACAAGCAGCATTTTCAAAGTAATGATGACGATTTATTAGTTAAGTGCTGATAATGTGCTCAGCACTGTCTGTAGACGGCACGTAGTACAGATGGGCTTTACGCTGATAGGCTAACCATTTCACAATGTTTGAAAGGGCAGCTACCAAGAATCTGTTGGCTTCCTCTTTACATATGAATGTGTGACTTTTCCTGGTTTTCTGTTGAACTTTATAGATGTTGCCCTGAATGCTTTTCAGTATGAATTCATCCGTGTTTGAATTTGGCACAGTGATACCATTGCAGAGCACAAAGCTATTATCCTGATGCATAAAATCCAAGGTTGCATTGATTGCACAAGCAAAGAATTATCTGAATGCACACAATCACTTATAAGTGTGATTAGTTGTGCATGCAAAAAGCTAATTTGCGTGTGCAGTTATCAATTGCATGTGCAAATTAAGCAGCCTATTTTGGATGCTGCAGAAGGTAACTAACCTCTTAAAAATCAGGCTCTCATGACCTCACAGTTTACAAACTCTTGTCATTTAAGAAGACCAGATGAGCCTGAGCTGTCATTATCCTGCACCTGTTTAGTCAATTACAGCAGTGCAAAAAGAATGCAAATACAAAGTTTTACACCCGTTTTGCACTATGGTAACTAACTGCAAAAGGTAATGGAGAATCAGGCCCTGATGTTTGACCTCCGGTTAAATACTATGAAACAGAGTTCTGCACATCAAATTTCACACACCATTAAAGCAGTTCTAATTACCAAAAAAAAAAAAAGGGAAGAAAATCCACATTTTAAATTAAATCGAGTACAGTTTGCCTAATTAGGTAAGTTGTTAGTATTTGCTTATACTTCCATTGATATAAATTACACTTTACAGATATTAAGACATAGGTCTTGCAAACTAAAAAGCTTACAACCTAAGATGAGTTCAACAAACATAGGATGCTGAGGGAATTAATATTAAAAAAGGGAAGGATGGAGGGAGGATGTAGTTCATAGTTCCAGCTATTAGAGCAGCTAAGACGACAAAGGATGTATCATAATTGAGTTCCATTTTATATCATGGGGGGTTGTTTGTATGGGAAAAGGTGAGTTTAAAAAGGGAGTGAAGGACAGGGACTTGCGTAACGAAACACAGAGCCACCATCTCTTGAAAAAGTTCTTTCACTGTGTTTTGATTGTTGAGTCTTTCTGGCTGTGTCCCTCCTGCGCTCACAAAAAGCAAAGACTCAAATGTGATTTATATAAGTGTGATAGTTCCCTAACCACTTCCTCAGAACATACGGTTCTAGGAACAAAAATATTCCACTTATCGGAGAACAAAACAAGCAATAGGAGACCAGTTCTTCAGCCCACTCTTATAGGGGTGGTTCCACTTGGCCAAATTCAGCTCTGATGTAAGTAGAGGTAGCTTCACTGAGGTTATTGGGGTTCTATCTCTTAGCTGCCAAGCAGAAGAGGTCTTTGGCTGTCATGCTTTGATAAGAGATGCTTACAGAATGTGTGACGTTGCCCTCTGGTGTTGTCTGGACCAGTGATCTGCTAGGTCACTCCAATCCTTAACTCTGGGAGCCAGCCTTATCCTGCTCTGCTGTGAGAACCCCCACCCCTGGGCTGTTCATGCACAGCCTCTGGCATGTCAGCTGCTCCCAGCTACTTGCAAGCGAATGACACTAGCCAATAACTTCAGTCCCAGAAACAACCCTAGGAACCTCCATCTTGCAGTGTCCAGTTATGTCCAATGGATACTGCAAGCTTATATAAGTTTGTCAATTTAACAAAGACATTGATATGTACCAGGCTTGTTATCCCAGGGGGAGTCTGACACGCTTCAAACCAAACGCACTGCTTCAGGTAGAACAAACAAACAGATTTATTAACTATAAAGGTAGATTTAAGTGATTATAAGTCAAAGCAAAACAAGTCAGATTTGGTCAAATGAAATAAAAGCAAAACACATTCTAAGCTGATCTTAACACTTTCAATGTCCTTAAAAACTTAGATGCTTCTCACCACAGGCTGGCTTTTCAATCAGGCTCTCCCCTTGATCAGCGCTTCAGTCGCTTGGTGGTGGTGGTGTCTGTAAGTGTCGGTGGAAGAGAGAGAGAGCATGGCAAAATGTCTCTCCCTTTTATCATGTCCTTTCTTTCCTCTTGGCTTTGCCCCCCCCCCTTCAGAGTCAGGTGAGCATTACCACATTGCAGTCCCAAACTGCCCAAAGGAAGGGGTGATTCCCTCAAGGGTCTAACAGATTCTTTTGTTGCTGCCTAAGCCAATGTCCATTGTTCCTGTGAGGCTGGGCTGGGTTTGTCCCATCCATGCCCTGATGAGGTTTGAACTGCCTCTCGGTTCTTGGAGAGTTTTTGCCAGGGCTTGCTTTAAGCCATGAGGATACATTTCCAGCCTCGTCACTATATACATGAAATTATAATCTATAACCGTACTGTAACATCACTATAACAGCCATGCTCAGTGCATCATGAGCCTTCCGAAGACACCCAACATGACAAACTTTGCATTGGATACCACACAATCATTTTATAAAGATGAACATGGGGGTGTAGGGTGTCCCCCCCGAGGTACAGAGTGTCATAGAATGTACTCACTTTTTTCTTAAAAAGTGACATTTGTATGTGTTAGCTTGGAATTAAGCAACTTCACCTCTTGGAAGCAACACATTTTTCTGTCTTTGAAGCACTGATGATGGTATGATCTGAAGGTTCATCCAATCTAAGATGTTGTCACTTGCAGTAACACTCCCGTTAATTTCAAGCTCATGAATGGATTACAGATTACAAGAATTACAAGAATCTTCAAGGACATCCGAAGACAGGTCTTCAACATAACTTCCAAGATCTTCAAAGCAACTTCCAATTTCTGTTTCCGTTTCACTGGTAAAGGTACGTGCTCTCTGAAACATAAACACTGCTTTTAGCTATCAAACGGTAGGTGAAAAATGCGTTTGAGCTACAGTTCAAAGTTCACAATGATTAAAAACACACAATTGAAAAATATATATTTTTGCTTGAGATTTAACCTCTGAAACTGGTGTATTCCAGAAGCAACGCACCCATTAACTTATCCAAGCAGTCTGAAATTTTGCAGGGTGCGAAGTATGTCTCAGCAGGGGATAAATTGTGTAAAAGTTTATATTACAATTAACCCAGTTGCTGGTTGTGGCCATTTTGCTGACGCATGTCACTTTTGTCATGGCAGTGTGAGATCTACTGACAAAGGTCACAAATCCAGCTTTGTATAATATTGCCTTAACTGGCAGAAGAAAAATACTGAAGCACTGACTGTGGGGAAAGTGGCACTATCTTACTCCACAGATCTGCCCCAGGTGTATTTGGTGTCTAATTATATCTATTATATATCTTATTATATCTAATTATTTTCATTGCAAAATCAATGCTTGACTTCTTTTTTTACTCTGGCCTGTTAGCTCCGAGAGGAGCAGTGTGGTGCACCCTACCAGCATGCAAGAGACTTGGGGTTCTATTCCTGGCTTGGTCACTGGCCTGCCATAACCTTGGACAAGTCCTGTAAAATCCTGGTCTCACTGACTTCAGTGGGGATTTTGCCATAACTTCAGTGGGATCAGATGTTCACCCTTTTGTAAAGTGACAATGATATTTTCCCTCCTTAGTAAAATGCATTGAGCTCTATGGAGGAAAAGCACTATGAATAGTATTAGGAGAGACTGAGAGGACTATCCATCATATAGAAAATTCTTAAATAAGAATGGTGGTGCCAAATTTTGACCTCTGAACCCCAAATGGGCTTTCACAGGTGTAATTATGAGTAGAATGTGGCTTGCAGAACCTTGATACATGAACCAGAAAGAACACAGTTGGACTTTCATGATCCGAAGCTAAGTTTGTAGGGCTGGCAGAGAGACACAATATCTGTTTACTTGTAAGTTGAACAAAGTTGCCTTGGAGTCACTGAAACATAATAAATATGGAAATTGTGAATTGCCATTTTTACACAGGCCCTTTTCTGAGTTAACATTAAATATTTAAGAACTGACAGGCAACACCATGATGCTGGCAATCTCAGCGGAGACACCAAAATTGATCTGGCACAGAAGTGGTCCCATCAGAACAAACTAAGGCATTCCCGTGCGGTGGGGGGAAATTTGCACTGCTGGCTGCTCATGTTGTATTGTATTCTATTCAGGGCCGGCTCTAGGCACCAGCAAAACAAGCTGGTGCTTGGGGCGGCACATTTTTAGGGGCGGCATGGCCGGCGCCAGAATGCCGCCCCTAAAAATGTGCCCCGGCCGCCCTAGCTCACCTCCGCTGCTGCTGCCACGGGACGCGAAACAGCTGATTCGCGCGCCGCTACTTGCCCTCCCTCCCAGGCTCTCAAGCCTGGGAGGGAGGGGGAGAAGCGGCGCCCGCACCGCGCGAAACGGCTGCTCGGGATCTCCCCCTCCCTCCCAGGCTTGAGAGCCTGGGAGGGAGGGCAAGTAGCGGCGCGCGAATCAGCTGTTTCGCGTCCCGTGGCAGCAGCAGCGGAGGTGAGCTAGGGCGGCCGGGGCACATTTTTAGGGGCGGCTTTCTGGCGCCGGCCATGCCGCCCCTAAAAATGTGCCC